AGAAAGTCCATCCTTCTGGAATGGACTTTCAGGGTTTCATCCCGGTCCTAAATCCACCGGCCTTAAAGCCGAGATGGAACCCTGAAAGTCAAAATTAAAACAAAACAATGGAAGCAACAATAAATCAAACTTCATAATAACCTTGGCTACTTCAGATAGAACTGAAGGTTGAAATCATTCACACCCACGCAAAGAACGAAGAAAAAAAAGGTAGAAAATCATTCACAATAAGATCGCGAGTTCGAAAGAAAAATTACCTCAATTAGAGAAGGGGGAAAGCTCTGATAGAGACGAAGTGAGGGAGACGAAGTGACGGAGATGAACTTTCTGGTTGTGAGGGAGAGACCGGGATGAAGATTGGGATGGACAACGAGATAGTGAATGAGGGAGGGGAAGGACCGAGACAGGGAGGGAAAGGAGGGGAGGGCTGGGTTTGATTTCTTTTTTTAAATTGAGGGTAACTTGGTAATTTTACCAAGCAAAATAAGGGGAGGGGTTAGAAATCTGAGGTGGAGGGGTCATAAATAGGTAAAAATCAAAAGGGGGTCAAAAGTCCAAAGTAATTATTGGAATAGGTCAAAAATCCCAATTTCCCAAATATGATTAGGATGCTTTTGTTTAAGTTTTCTTTTACTCTGCATCAGCAATGAGTTGGTATGTTGGGCTTATTTCAATTTGATTTGAATTTACTTCCGTCAATATTATTAAATTGTCATTTTGGTGGGTAAGTTAAATTGGCATTTGATATATTTATAGTAAAACTCTCATTATTACTTGCTGAGTTGTTGATGGGTGACTTAAATTGGCAATTGACTCTCTCATTACTACTTGCAGGGTTGTTTGGTAGGTTAATTAAATTGACATTTGATATATTTATTGTAAAACTCTCTCATTACTACTCTCTATTTGGTGGGTGAGTTAAATTGACATTTGATTTGATTTTTTTCAATTTATGAAGTTGGTGGAGTGCCTTATAACGTTAGTTCAAGGAGGTGGATGGATATCAGATAATGACACGTTCGGGCCTGGATATTTACAACAACTAGAAAGAATGATGAAAGAGAAAATCCCTGGATGTACTATTAGAGCAACACCGATAATAGATTGCAGAGTGAAAAATTTAAAGAGACTCTACAACGCAATTGTAGAGATGTTGGGCCCATAATGCAGTGGTTTTGGGTGGAATGATGACCACAAGTGTATTGAAGCAGAGAAGGAAGTATTTGATGACTGGGTTAAGGTATGAATGTTTTATTCTAAGAGTTATTAGACATAATTATATAGTAATATATTTTATTTAATTTGCAGTCTCATCCCAATGCAAAAGGACTTCGTAACAAGCCTCCACACTACGATGACCTAACAGTTGCTTTTGGTAAGGACAGAGCGACAGGGGCGAATTTAGACTGTCCGGTAGACATGGCATCGAGTGCTGCTGCAACAATTGCTGAAGATGCGCATTTCGAAGCACAAGATTTCTACATCCCGGACCCACCAATGTTCAACACCACAGAGGATGCGATAGAGGAGGACTTGCCAAATACGCCTACAAGTAAGCCAACTATTGGAACATCATCAGGGGGAAGCAAGAGGAAACGAAGTGGTTATACATCAGAAATGGTAGATGTGGTACGAACAAATATGAGGATGCAAACAGCCCATTTGGAGAAGATGGCAACGTGGCCGGATAAAAAGGAAGAAAAAAAGATCGCACGACGCAAGATAGTACATGACCAGCTGAAACAAATACCAAACTTGGAGGCCAACGATTATGTCCGACTTGTCGGTATTTTGATGACTAATGTCAAGAAGTCCATCAGTTTCCTTGAGGTCCCAATAGAATTTAAGAAAATGTTTTGCATGCAATTGCTGGGAAAGAGCGAATGATGTCCCCCTCCAACGACCTTTTTTGAAATATAGATTTTGGTGGGTAGTGTGCCTTTTTTTTGAATTATGGATTGACCCTTTGTTGACAATTGTACTTTTGTTGTAAAGGATTACTTTTGAATTCATGTGCTTGTAACCTTTTCAAATTATTATGCTTAATGTAAGTTTCTATTCCTATACATTTTTTTCTATTTTGTCTAATTTAATCAAAATAGGTGCTTAAACAAAATTTTGAAATATAAATAAACTCCAAAAATTAACGTCTCAATTTTAGAATTAATGAAAATAAATATCTATTCCTTCAAATTAAAAAAAATTATAGAATCTATCCAAAATTGTACCAAGACTCAGCTAGCTTAATGAACTCCAGACTTAATAAATCTGCACCCCAAACAGATTTCATAACTCTGGCTTAAAGAACTCTTAACTTAACAAATCTACACCCCAAACACAGACTTCATAACTCTATACTAAACAACTCTACACCCAAAACACAGACTTAACAACTCCAGACTAATTAACTCCTCAGCTTAAATAAGTCCAGACTTAATAACTCCACTCCTTCCCCCAAACACCCCTTAAGAATGAATATCTACTATACACATGGAGCATTTAGGGGATGTTTGAGGCAAAGACTTGTGAGTAGTGGAGTTGAGAGGAGTTGGGATTTTCTTAGTCTTTGTTTAGGGGAGGATTTAAAAAACATGGAGAGGGATTTTCAACTCCCTACTTTGTTTCCCTTTATATCTTATCTTTTTCTTCAAGTGGGTCCTACATCTTTCACATCTATTTTCTTTCTCATTCTCCACTCATTTCTCTCTCTATCCATCTATTTTTTTTTTACTATTTTTCATTACTTTTCTATCTCTTATTTTTATTATTTATCATTTATCATATTTATTTAATTGTTTCAATTTTTCTTTACGAACGAATTGTTTCGATTTCAACTTTTCCTATCCTCCCAATTATAAATCTATAAATATATACAATTGTGTTTTTTTTATATAAATATGAATATTTATAATTTTTTTAATTAAAAAAATGTATTTATATGAAATGTAATTCAGTTTTATTTCCCTATATTTATGTCTTGATATAAAATAAATTTTGAAAATGGTAAACTTAAATAATTAAATTTTTTTTATAAAAAAATTCAATTTAATTAATCAAATAGTTAAATTTAATCTTAATTTTGAGATGAAAAAGTTATGTTATTTTAATTATTGTAATCTTTTATCCATATTAAATAATTGGTAGTTGTAAAAATTATATAATTTTAAAAATGTGATTTTAAAATAGGAATAGTAGTTTATTTTGAATTCATACTATATACAATATTAAGCTAACAAATATTAAAGTAAAATAATATACTTAATTTTAAAATTAGTAATATTCAAAGTAACAAAAATATATATGTTAATAATTATTTAAATAAAACTAGTAAAATAAATTATATTTAATTTAAATTAATTATATTAAATAAAATGTTTAATTTTTATATTAGCCACAACAAATAATAAATAAATCAAAAAGTATATATATTATATATATTTTATGTTGCGTTTTTCCTTTGAAATATTAAAAAAGACAAATTATCTTATCAAAAATCTCAAACTTATAATTCATGAATTTGAAAAAATCATTGGAATCTAGCTATAATTATATAATATAGTAAATTTGTAGCAAAAAAATCAGATAAAAAAAATTAAGTTTACACAATTCTAGACTTATTAAATCATTGCCCCAAATACAAACTTTAGAAATCGAAGTTTAACAATTTTACACCCCAAACATAGATTAAACAACTCCAGACTTAACTTCTCAAATTTACTTCTCAGATTAAACAACTCCCGATTAAAGAAGTACAGACTTAACAACTCTTTGCCCCATACACTGTTGAGATAATGTGGAGCCAAACATTAAAATGAGACATTAGTTATTGGGCCAAAGTAATTAAAGATAGGCCCAATACATTTATTTCTTCTTCTAGTTTGGATATTTTTTTGGTAAAAAAAATTAAGTGTCTCCCGCCTTAGTTTTTAACAACCCCATGAGAGAGAATTTAAATTAGAGTGAGATTTAGAGAGAGGAGGGTTTTGGTGATTTTTTCATCGACGGAGAGAGTTCCTTCGAGGGTGAGTGTTCTGTGTGAATTTTTCATTGAGAAATATCTCCATCCTCTATGGAAGAGTTTCAAAAAGCCTGTAGAGTGATTCGTGAGCATTTTTCTTTGAGAGAAAAGTGAGATAAATCATTGTAGAGCTTTTGCAAACTCTTGAAGATTCTTCTGGCATTTAGTGGAACCTGCAACGGTAGCACAGAACTGGACGTAGCCCACATTGGGTGAACCAGTATAAATTCGGTGTCGAATTTCTCTTCCCTATATTTTATTGTTCTTGTTGCTTGAGGTTTAGGTTGGTTTATATACTCTTTGAGCATAGTTCCAATTTGATTTATTTCTGTTATAATTGGAACCAGAACCTGATCTGGGATTAGTTAGCATATAGTGTTTGGAATTGTGATTTAGATAATATTTGTTAGCTCATGTTTTATCCCTAACCAGTGGTATTAGAGCGAGGTTGAAGAACAATGGCAGGGGACAACAAATTGGTCACTTTTAATGGGTCGGATTTTTCGTTTGGTAGCTGTTGATTTAGAATTCAGTGATGTAGTTTATGTTATTTTGTTGTTAAGATCTTTGTCTGATAGTTGGGAACCCATGCGAGCTGCTATTTCGAATTCTTGTGGGAAAGAGAAATTGAAATTTGAAGATGTTAGAGATGCAGCTCTTGCAGAAGAAATTCGCAGGAAGGACTCTGGTATCACTTCTACTTCTGGTTCAGTATTGAATGTGGACAGAGGGAGAAATAATAATATAGGTTATGGGAATAGAGGCAAGTCGAAAAACAACAGAAGCAAGTCGAGAAACAACAGGTTTGAGTGTTGGAATTGTGGTAAGATTGGACATTTGAAGAGGAATTGCAAGGCCCCGAAGAAAAATGATGGGAACGAAGCCGGTGCTAATGTTGCTGAGTAGATACATGATGCTCTAGTTCTTGCAGTTGATAGCGTTCATGACACATGGGTGATGGATTCATGTGCGTCTTTTCATACTACAAGACAACTTGAGATTCTTGAAAATTATATTGCAGAAAATCGTGGAAAGGTCTATCTTGCCGATGGAGAACCCTTGGATATCATTGGTATCGATGACGTGAATTTAAAAATGGCGAATGGTTCAGTTTGGAAAATTCGCAAGGTACGTCAAGTTCAGAATATGATGAAAAACTTGATTTCTGTGGGGCAGTTGGATAATGAAGGATGTGAAATATCCTTTGGTTAAGGAAACTGGGAAGTTACAAAGGGTGTCATGGTGATTGCTCGAGGAAGCAAGTCAGGAACTTTGTATGTCAACAGCAATAATAAAGACATGGTGGCTGTTGTAGATCATTCGAACCATACTCAATTATGGCATAACAGACTGGGACATATGAGCGAAAAATGTCTGAAAATTCTTCATTTTGTAGAGAAGTTACAGGGACTTGAGGTAGTTGACCACAAGCTGTGTGAAGGTTGTGTATTTGGGAAGCAAAAGCGTGTCAGTTTCTCGAAAACAGGTGCAACACCAAAGCCTACGAAATTGGAGTTGGTTCACACTGATGTTGGGGGCCTTCTGAAGTTTCTTCTCTTGGAGGTTCAAGATACTATGTGACTTTTATAGATGACTCAATCAGGAAGGTATGAACTTATTTTCCCAAACATAAGTCTGATGTATTTGATGTTTTCAAAACTTGCAAGGCTATGGTTGAGAATGAGACAAGTCTGAAAATTAAAAGCTTGAGATCAGACAATGGTGGTGAGTATGTTGATGGGGAACTTAAAAAGTATGTGCATATAGTGGAATTATGATGGTAAAGACTATTCCAGGGACACCACAGCATAACAGTGTGGCAGAGAGAATGAACAGGACGCTGAATGAGCGTGCCAAGAGCATGAGATTACATGCGGGATTGCCATGGGCAGAGGCAATCAACACTGCGACCTATCTGATTAATAGGAGCCCGACCACATCACTAGACTTCAAATTGCCTGAAGAAGTCTGGAGCAGTAAATAGGTAAACCTTTCTCATTTAAAGGTTTTTGGCTGTGTATCTTACCTTCACATTAATGCTGCAAACAGGAGTAAACTGGATGCTAAATCCAAGAAGTGTTATTTTCTTGGTTATGACGGAGCTGAGATGGGCTATAGGTTTTGGGACGACCAAAACAGGAAAATTATTAGAAGCAAGAACGTGGTCTTCAATGAGACCAAGACAACAAGAATTTATGATCATAATACGGAACAAAAAGTGTCTTTGTAGATTTAAGGACTTAACAAAAGTATCTTTCAGTACTAAAAGTTGGTCAGATGAAAAAGTAAACTTATGAATACTCTACATCTCTTCAACTGCTTGATTAGTCAATAATTTTAAACGGATAAAAATTAAACTTTACTAATTTAGTAAACCAAAATCTTTTATCTTGTGTGTTAAGGATCCCACATTGAAAAAAGGGGACCTAACAATGGTTTATATTAGACATGGGCTACTCTTCTCATTGCCAATTGATTTTGAGATGAAACCATAAATATTAATATTGTGTACAAGCTTCACCTCGATAACTAGTCGCATATGTTTTATCATTTGGATTTTTTTTCTTTATTTTGTTCATACTTTGAATAGAATCATATACTTTATATTAGATTAAATTCTATTAGATGCATTAACAGAGATAGATGTTTCACTTGACTTCAAACAATTCGATGGTTATATATATATAGATGGTTGTATTGTGGGTGGTGTTCCCTTGCACTAGCATTCTTGTATAATAAAAATTGATGCAATGCTTCTTCAATCTTATTTGTCCACGTTTTAATGCTTTTTCAACCTTATTTGCAATGCTTCTTCAATCTTATTTGTCCATGTTTTAATGCTTTTCAACCTTATTTGTCTACGTTCTTACACTTTTTTCCTCGACAATTCATGAAAATAATAATTCACACCATCCAAGTTATATCTAAGGTCAAGAACAACCCTAATATATAATAATAAATTTATTTTCTTACTTGCAATTGCATCCTAATATTAGTTAAATTTTCTTGCATGTTTGATATAATCTTAGTCAATAACACATTCTTGTCTAAAGAGTATTCATGAATCATTACTTGCACTAACATACACAAATGTAGAAAACTTCTAACGTCTAAAAATATTTCTAAGAACTTTACAAATACTCTTTAGCATTATTTCAATCCTACTCGTGCATTTGATTGTGTGTTTTCCTTCTTAATTAATATAAAATGATAACTTTCACATATACACTCTTAATTCAACAGTTTTCTAATAAAATGTAAAAGATAATGTCATGGACGGACTGTTTTGAAAAATTATTTTCACAATTGTCTAATGTTTATAAATTTTATAGTTTTAGATTTCTCGATTTATAACTTTTCTCAAATGCCAAATTTGTCCTTATTCATGGCATTTATATTTATTATAATTAGTTTTTTCATTTCATTCCAATTTTTGGTTCAATTTCAATGCATTTCAAACACACAATATTTGACTCACTAATATTCGCCGAAGAGCATTACATTTTAGGAGGGTAAACTTGTCGACATAATGAGTTAAGACGACAGGGGAGTAGTGTGGTTTCATCCTTTTCGTTTCTGTCTTGCGTGTATATATATATATATATATATATATATATATATATATATATTTATTGTTTATCGCCTACATTGTCATTTATATGGAGATATGAACTATATCGGAAGTAAACTATAACCATTATAATATATACTTATATGGAGATATAAACTATATCCAGCTATAAACTATAGCTTATATATGAACTATAAATTATATACAACTACATCCATCTATAATTAACAAACAAAGCAAATAACCTACATAATAAAATATATACGACACGTTACCATCGAAACCTTTTTAAGTACCCCAAAATCAAACACCCAAAATCAGAAATAAAAAACAAACCTAGAAATTTTAAAACGTAAACAGCAGAAAACGGGCTACCGAAAACAATGGTGAAAAGCGAGCGAATTGAAAATGGGCTGCCGGAGACGGTAACGACAGAGAACGGAGAACACTAAAAAGATGAGGAGACGACCTGCTGGAAACAATGATGAAAAGCGAGAGAAAAGAAGACGAATGAATAAAGAGAAATAGATAACTAAAAATTTGGGAAATTCTTTTTAGGAGAGTGAAGAGGTGCATAAATTTCGAGATTTAAAATATAAACGATCCAAATCAACCATTTTTTCTATTTTGAATTTTTATATCTTAATAATAATTACATGTATATAAAAATGGTATATTGGTAAAATGCATATGAGTTCCATCTTAAAGAAGGAGGGTATTTTAAGACAAAAATGTAAATTTTGTAGAATGGATCAATTTGTGTAATTATCATCTCTAAAGGGTCTATTAATGTACTAATCCAATGTAATTGATGGTATAAATGGAGCCATTTAAATAAGTTTAAAGTTTTAATTATAGTTATTAGTGTAAGGTGTTATTCTCAACCAACAAAGTTTAGGGTTTTAATTGGTGAAATTATTAAGTTAGGGTTTTAATGGACTCCAAAGTTGTATAATTTATTTTACCCTTAATTATTTTTCATGCTCAGGACACTCGTGGATATTGATGAGAGAAAAACAAACAACCTTAGGCCTAGTTGTCTTGTGAGAATCTAAAATTCCTATGAACCAGTCACATAGATTTCCACGTTTGTTTTATTACAATGTAGGATATAAGGTGTTCGGGTATCTTAAGATACTCATATGGGAGGCACTTAGAGAGCGTTTTGGATGCTCTCTTGAAACATGAGTTTTTCCAAGATTTCTATGTGACATCTCACTTTACATTTTGTATCGTTCATTCTTTTTTCGTATATATATATTATCTTTCACGATTTTCTTTATTTTATATTATTTAATTTTACAATTAAAATAAATTAATATACCCATTCACTAATAAACAACTTTGCAGTTACATATATTTATATATTACATTTACATATAAAATAAACTTCAATTAAATTATATAATATCTTGATTTCTTTGGTTGATAAATTTTCTTAAAATTTTCTTAAAATTGATATTAATTATATGGAAAAGAAATCCATAAAAACCAAAATTATTCCTCTCAATTTTTTTTTTCTAATTTGATAACATAAAGATATGATCCAATAAAATGCCAGCATTTATATAGTTTTCTTTTGAGAAAAAAGTTCAAGTTAATATTAAATATTTTATAAGCATATCAAATTAATATAAATTAATGCGCTCTACATAATAATATTAAAATTTAATATAAATTAAATTGATAAAAAAGCTATAAATTAATAAATGCATAAAAGTCAACTTCTAAATTACAAAGTGTTAAACCAAATAGAGTTTTTGTAATTTTCTTACATGGTGATTATCTATAGATGCAAGACATCTGTTGTCTGAATTTTGAGGCATATAAAATTTCTAATTCTAAGGGTTCGTTTGGTAGCATTACTATGTTTCTTGTTTTTCAATTTTGTTAAGAAATTTAAATATTTGACAACTATATATGTATTTTATCATTCTTGAATCCATGAATGTTGAAGCTATGCAATTCTATTTTTCTTTGTTAAAAATGAGAAAACATAAATAAGAAACGAAAACGTTACCAAACGAGTCACAAGATATAATACACCTTAGATCCTTGAAAACAAACGATCCTATAGTGCAATAGCTTTTATAATAAGAAAATAACAAGCTGAACATAGCTTAGAGGTAAGCATATGTATTTCCTTCATTAAGTCGGAGATTCAAATCTTCATACTTCCCATCGACCTACTCTTTTGACTTATAAATTTATAGCTAGTTTTTTTTACAGACACAGGCCAATTAGTTTCAAATAATAGATCCTCCATAAAAAAAAACTATGAGAAAAAAAATTAAAAAAAAAATCACTCTCAAAAGCAGGAAAATATTTTTCAAACCCCCCAAAATAGTTCAAATATAAAAAAACCGTGCGATTTAAAAAAAAAAAAACCCTATCAAAACCATCCCGACCCGACCCTATGACCCGACCCGATACGAGAGCTTCTTCCCGCTCGTTGAAAAACCCACTGAATTTGAAATTGGGCACTCCATCAAACTGAAAGCTCCTTCTCCATTTCTCCCTAATTTCTCTCCCATGGCTTCTCATTTCGTCTTCCCCCAAACCCTTCGAGCTCTCGAGCAAGACTTCGACGACAATCGCCTCTGCGTTCAGAATCCCACTGAAATCGCATCGCTTCGCCCCTCCCAACTCGAAGAATTCGTCAAAGGTTCGTCGTGCCCCTACTGTTACAAGCTTTTCCGCGTCTTTTTTGGGGTTAATTTTCCATTTACGTTCTTCATTTTGTTGAATTTTGATAGGTGTTTCTTTCGATCTCTCCGACAAGGAGATCTTCTGCGTGGAAGAGCAGGATACTTTTGATCGAGTGTACTCGTTGATTCGGGAATATAATAACCTTTCTCCCTCCTGTAAGTTGAATATTGTCGAGAGTCTTCGGTCAAATTTCAGTGTTCTTCTTCCGAACATCGATTCACTCGCGCGTGCTTCCCCAAGTAGTAGTGATGGCGACGCTCCGGTGCTCGATCAGATTGCGTCGCATCGTAATGCTTTTAAAATATATACGTTTTTCCTCCTTAATATCGTCGTCAGTGAGGAATCCACCGTTAGTAGCAGCAACAATTCGAAGGTTTACAATTTCCTCTACGCTAGTCCTTTTTTGCTTTCTAAATAATTTAAAATTTGATGGTTCCGTTGGTTTAATTTGAAACTCACCCAGCTCCTTCAATCATGCGTTCAGGTGACAGCTAGTACTCGGAAAAAAATGCCCAGAAGTTCATGGAACTGGGAAATGCAGAGGGGCCGTATTTTGAACTTGATTGCCAATTCACTGGAGATCAATATCTCGTTGCTCTTTGGTTCGTCAGACCCAGATGAGAACTACCTGTCTTTTATCGCAAAGTACGTACTATAACTTATGTTGGTGAAAACAATTCCCCTGTGTATTTACTGTAATTTAATTTTTATTGTTAATCTTGAGTTTTCTATAGAAACGTGTTCTCGATGTTCGAGAATCCAATCCTTTTGAAGGACGTTGATACGAAGGATGCTCTGTGTCGTATAATTGGTGCTTGTTCTACAAAATATCACTTTACGATGCAATCATGTGCCTCAATTATGCATCTTATTCATAAGTACGATTATATCGTTACCCACATGGCTGACGCTGTTGCTGGGGCAGAGAAGAAATATTCTGATGGAATTCTGGCGATCTCTCTTATCAGAGAGGTTGGAAAGACTAATCCGAAGGACTATGTTAAAGACACAGGTGGGGCTGAAAACATAGGCCGATTCCTTGTGGAGCTCGCTGACAGGCTCCCAAAGTTGTTCTCAACCAACATAGGACTTCTGATCCCACATTTTGGGGGTGAATCCTATAAAATAAGGAATGCTCTGGTAGGGGTTCTTGGTAAGTTGGTTGCTAAAGCATTTTGCAATATTGAAGGTGAACAGAGTTGTAAATCAGTTCGTCTTCGAACCAAGCAGGCAATGCTAGAAATCTTGCTTGAACGTTGTCGGGATGTTTCAGCTTACACAAGGAGTCGAGTTCTTCAGGTTTGGGCTGAACTATGTGAAGAACATTCTGTTTCTATCGGTTTGTGGAATGAAGTGGCAGCAATTGCTGCTGGAAGGTTGGAGGATAAGAGTGCAATTGTCAGGAAATCTGCATTGCAATTGCTCATCACTATGTTGCAGCATAACCCATTTGGTCCACAGCTACGATTAGCTTCATTTGAAGCAACTTTGGAGCAGTATAAGAAGAAATTAGACGAGCTTGAACCAGAAAAGTCCTCAGAAAATGTGGTAGCTGGCTCGCTATTTGATGATGATATCATTAATGGTGATGGTGAAGTTGATAATAGCCTTACAGAAGGTGGGGCAGGGAACCAGCAAGATAGTTTGCCTGATAGCTATCCTTCTCAAAGGGAAGAAGCGGTTGTTCAGAAGGACGATTTGACTTTGGATGTTCGAAACATGGAGCAGATCAGGGCGTTGGTTGCATCTCTGGAGGCTGGCTTGAGGTTTTCGACATGTATATCAGAAATAATGCCAACCCTAGTTCAGTTAATGGCTTCTTCTTCCGTCACTGACGTTGAGAATACAATTCTTTTGTTGATGAGGTGTAGACAATTCCAAATTGATGGCTCAGAGGCTTGTCTCCGTAAGATGTTGCCGCTGGTATGCAAACTTTTAGTCATATATCAAGGCTTAAATTTGTCGAAATTTTTATGTTTATTCTCTATATATCATTCACTTCTGACAGTTCTTTTGTAGACGTCCAATTTATTCGTTTATATTTCTTTGTTTTGTAGGCATTTTCTCAAGATAAATCCATCTACGAAGCTGTTGAGAACGCCTTCCTAACAATATACATAACAAAAAACCCAGTTGAAACTGCTAAAAGTCTTCTACATCTTGCCATTGATTCAAATATTGGAGATCTAGCAGCTCTGGAGTTTATGATTGATGCCTTGGTATCTAAAGGTGATATATCTAGTAGCACGGTATGCCTCGCCTTATGACTCTGTCTTACATCTTTGCCTAGCAAGTAGCAAGTTAGCACCTTTCTGGGAAATTTAGCGTGAATATCGTTTATTATGAATTATGACAGTTAAAAATTTCAAGCGAATACTGCTCGCAAGAAAAGACTTTTACGGCAGCCAATTAAGAGTTATAGGGGCCAAATTACTTTTGAGATATTTTTTTTCATCTTTTAGTACAACAAATATGGTAATCCCCGACCTCAAGAATACTGTCATTTAGCTAAAAACAATTCATTTTAAGATGAGGATGGCACATGCCAAATTAAGAAAATAGACATGCTAGGCTTGTAAATACTTAAAAGAAGAAAAAAAAAACAAAATCTGGACTATCTTACGTTGTAATTCGACATATATTTGTCGTAATTTTAACCGTCTGGAAATAAATGGTAGCGAAAGCGTATGAGAAGCTAAGTTGATAAGTATTTTTGAAACTAAAATTAATTTTCTAATATATTTGGTAGTCTGAGTGGTATCTGAATGAGTTAGATACTGGCTCGGATTTAAAAAGTAAAAATTACTTGCCAATATAAACTCCTTTCTATGATATATAGTTTATTCACAAGGAACATACGTAGAACTTTCGAAATAGTTTTAACTTTAGATTGGCATACACAACCACGAACAATTCAAGGAATGTGAATTTACTAGAACGAAATATGAATACCTATTTCTTCGGTTACTTGAAGATATCAGCTTTGACAGATTAGATCGACGTGCCTAAATTGGGGTACAGAGTATAAGTTCGGTTATGTCATATGATGACATCTGAAAAGGTTGCTCGTTTACTATTGTGATTTTAGAGTTATACTTTTTAATGGGACACTTATCTCCACCTTTATGAATGCTTAATGGATTTCGACCATGGAATGGATAACATAATTAAAAATATTTTTTTAATTTTTTTTTCTTTTCTCCAGATATCAGCTTTATGGGATTTCTTTTGCTTTAACGTTGGTGGAACTACAGCAGAGCAAAGCCGAGGTGCATTATCTGTTCTTTGCATGGCTACAAAATCATCTGCTGGCATCGTTGGCTCCCATATACAGGACATTGTTGATATCGGGTTTGGTCGATGGTCTAAGGTGGACCCTTTGCTTGCCCGGACCGCATGCATTGCCATCCAAAGACTGTCTGAAGATGACAAAAAAAAGTTATTGGCTGGTAATTGCAGCCGGGTGTTTGATATGCTGGAAAGTTTGATTACTAGTTCTTGGCTTCCAGAGAAGATATGGTTTGCTGCTGCCGATAAAACTATAGCAGCTATATATTCAATCCATCCATATCCAGAAAACTTAGCCGCAAATTTGGTTAAAGATTCTCTTACTTCTGTTTTTAACGGTAACAAGGAAGACGAGCCCCAAAATGACATTGAAGGTGGAAACAGTGTCGTATTAACTACTGTTCAAATAGGGAAACTTAGTAGATATTTATTTATCGTAAGTCATGTAGCCATGAATCAATTAGTATATATTGAATCGTGCACCCGAAAGATCCAGAAACAGAAAGCGAAGGAAAAAATGGTTGTTGATGGTCAGACTGTACACGGAAATGGTGCAACAGTAGCTAATGGCGTGAAGGTGAGATCCGGTTTTGTATAATGAATCAGTTATGAGACCAGGATATAGTTATTCGTCGTACTTTTTTTTAACTACATATCTATTATCTACAAAACTTATGTTTGTAATATAAAATGTGACATTAGAATTCTTGCAGGAAGATGGCATCAATGCTGAGCTAGGCCTTGCTGCATCTGAAGATGCAATTGTTGATTCTCTTTCAGAGAAGGCAGAAAAAGAAATTGTTTCTGGTGATTCAGGAGGGAAGAATTTAATAGGACACTGTGCACCGTTTCTTTCCAAACTTTGCAGAAATTTCAACCTAATGCATAAGGTGATTGTGATCCCGTTATTTCTGTACTCTTGATGAATTGTTTTATTCATTTACTTGGTGTATCGTCTGTTCATCATATTGTGGGAATGTTTTCATTTGTTTCTCTTTGCTCGTGATGTTTTGCGAAGTGAAATTTACATGATACTCATTCCTTCATACATTCAAATATGTCAAAAGCAATTGCAGAAATGCAATACCAAGCGAGCTTGAAAAGCTTTTGAGTAATATGATTTCTATGGAAAGTTGTAACGTGTTGGTGGCATATTATTTTCTGCGTTGTATAAATATTTCAAATATTAGAACCGTTCTTTTTAGTTTCTATTATTTATTTGAATGTTAAAAATTTTAATTTGGATTGTTCATATTGTCTACTTCCATCTTTTTCTTGCAGTTCCCAGATCTACAAGCATCTGCAATGCTTGCTTTATGTCGTTTGATGATCATTGATGCAGATTTTTGGTGAGACCTCAGTCTGTGTGTGCGTGTGTGTGTGTGGGAATTGAAATAAATATTTCCTGACTTCCAAATAAATGAACTTTCAGCAACGCAAATCTTCAACTACTTTTCACGGTTGTAGAAACTGCACCATCAGATATTGTTCGTTCCAATTGCACTATTGCTTTAGGCGATTTGGCTGTTCGGTTCCCTAATCTTTTGGAACCATGGACTGAAAATATGTACGCAAGGTTGAAGGATCCTTCAAAATCTGTTAGGAAGAATGCTGTGTTGGTGCTTTCCCATCTCATATTAAATGATATGATGAAGGTTTGGTTGTTCCAATATTGTTCCTAGCTTTACTAATTTATTTGCTTGTATTTGAAGTAGGCTAATTTGATATTTGTGATTAGGTAAAAGGTTATATAAACGAAATGACTCTACGTTTAGAAGATGAGGATGAGAGAATATCAAATTTGGCCAAACTATTTTTTCACGAGTTGTCTAAGAAAGGTATTCTTTGTAACATCAAGTAAAGTTTTTATTAATGGTTACATTTTGTTCACTGCTCGAATTGGTTTTTTCTCATATCAAATATTTGTTTCCATTTCCTTACAAACAGGCGCAAATCCTATTTACAACTTACTACCAGATATATTGGGGAAACTTTCTAACCAAAATCTGCAGAGAGAGTCATTTTGCAACATTATGCAGTTCCTGATTGGCTCCATCAAGAGGGTAATGGGAGTTGAATCAGATGAATCTAGACTAAAATTTCTAAAACTAATTACTTATCATGTTTCTCTAGGATAAACAAATGGAGTCCCTCGTTGAAAAGCTTTGCAATAGGTTTGGTGGAGTTTCAGGTAATAATTTTA